GCCTTGCTTGCCAAACCTTGCCGCCTTTCCTTGGGGTCGACAGCTTCAAATATTGGAACCTTTACTTCTTTCCGAGTTTCACTGCCGCTTCGACCTTCCATACTTCGGCCTGTAACAGCGATTGTACACCCATGCGAGGAAACAGGTTCGCGACATGTGATCATATTCCGTCAGCATATGGCCCCTCGTCTAGGTGATCGGCATCACCCCAGAGTGCCAGACCTCCCACTTGTGGGGCACAGTGCTGGTTTTGGTTACATGAACGATTGAGCATGGAGATTATGTACTCGCGGCGGATGGACGGGCAGTCGTTGGAGTATCGTGGACCATCCATCCCATACTCAGAGAGTGCAAGGTTTCGCCTGCAAGCGACACTCCCGTACCCGATGTGCTCACCATAATGGCCGCTTCGCGGACTCCAGCTCCGCTTGAGCTTCCTCAGGCCAGTGGTCGTTTCTCGAGCTGGGCCATCTCTTCAACCAAGGCATGGTCGGATCTGGGGTAGCACCCCCATGCGTTTTGGGACCCCAGGCACTCACCATGAAGCGCATGTTTAGTCGCGCTCCAACTCTCTCTCTCTCTCTCGCTCTCTCTGTTTCTGTCGAGCTCCATTTCCATTTGCAGGTCGGATTCAATCTTGCTCTTCTCTCTGGCTGTCTGGCTCTCTTGCTCTTGCTCTCGCTCCGGCTCTGGCCCCCCTCTCTCTCTCTTTCTCTACGTCTGCCACCCCTCTGCCTCTTCGAGTCGTCGGAGTGAGCATGCACCAATGGAGAAAATAAACAAGGACACGGTGAAACGTGGCACATGTGCTCTGATATTGGCCCAGTGCAGCTGCGCCGCGAGGAGCAAGCTGGAAAACAACAGTCCTGGCAACGCATAGGTCCGTGTGCAGGGCTATCTTACACGCGAACCTGTCCGTGGTGCCTCGGGCAGCTTCCTCGATCTCACTGGATCTCGCATGTATAAGGGGCTCTGCAGAACGTGGACCTGTTAGTCAACCAACCACGGCCAGATGTGCACCATTGCGCCTTGCTGGTTTCCACCCGCCTGTGCCCAATACCCAGGACTGCCGCAGACAAATTGTAGTTCCGACAGGCCAGTCGAGGTAACCACGACCAACCTGTGCACCATTGCGCAGAAGCTGCACGGCGGCTTCCAGGCACCCTGAGCCAGCACAAACTGCCATCTCTGGGGGGTTGAGCAGGGACCGACCGCCTCGGCATTCCTAGAGGCCTATAAGGAAATTCTCTCGGAACAAGAGACTGCTCCGAGAACGGAGCCAAACGGTCCCGGCCAGAGCTGTCCTAGGAGCGTGCCCTGGAAGCCACAACGGATTCTTAGAATACTCTTGGGTGGGCCCATAGGCAGGCCAGGACACCTCGCCACTGGGCGGGAGAGGATGACGAGGAGGAGGAGGAGGAGGAGGAGGAGGAGGAGGAGGAGGAGGAGGATGAGGAGGCGGAGGAGGAGGAGGAGGAGGAGGAGGAGGAGGAGGAGGAGGGGGGGCATCCTTCACTCCCGCCGGCTTCTGCTGGCGGAGCCGCCCTCGCTCTGCTTCCGCTGGCCTGAAGGGGCCCTGGGACACACAGATAAGTCGACGCAAATTATAGGATTCCCCATGTTTTCCCATGCTTTCTGGGCTTGTCTTCCCCCACCCACTTCCCATATTTTCCTGCATTTTCTGGGGAGTCGTCGCCTAATCGTGTCTCTGTGTTTTTTCTCCCCGAGGGAGAGCCTTCAGCTTCTCCATGCCTCGACGGTGGGGCCCTCTCTGGGGCGCCCCACGGGGGGGGGCAGGGCAGCGGGAGCAGTGAGTGGGGCGCGACCGCTGCCGGTGAGCTGGGCCGCCGCTGCTTCGCCACCGCCTCTGCCGCCCCGGCGACCTGCCACCGACGCCACTGCTGCTGCTCCTGCCGCCGCCTGTCTTCCCTTGAGCTGAAGGGGGAACGCTACGTAGGGGGGGGGCACTGGCTGAGCGGGGGAGACGTCGAACTGGCACCGGCGATACGTCGCCGATAGATCGGCGATACGGCCCCGCCGGCCAATCCGGACGCTCCTGGGCGGGGTGGGCTGGGCCATCAGGCCCCAGTCGGCGATCCCTGGGCGATTGGGTGACTGCCTCTCCCCCCCTGACCTTGCCCCTGGGCTCCCTGGCTTCACGGGCCAGGATTCTGGCCTCCAGCGGCCGCTCGGGAGGAGGAGGAGGAGGAGGAGGAGGAGGAAGGAGAGGAGGAGGAGGAGAGGAGGAGGAGGAGGAGGAGCGAGGAAAGGAGGAGGAGGAGGAGGAGCAGGCCGCTGGAGACCACCCCGCTGCGCTCCGAGACCGAGACCGAGCGCAGGCCTCCACGACCTCCGCGCCCCCACAACGCCTCGCGGGGCGCGCGCGGCCGGGGCGCCGGCTGCGATCCAGGCACGCGCCCAGGAAGAGTATGAGATTGGGGTGCCTCATCGTGGTCAGCAGGGAGATCTCGTGGAGGACCTCCATGGTCAGCAGGGAGATCTCGTGGACCCCCGCCCCCCCTCCCTCGACCGGCCTCCGCGGCCTCTCCCCCCCTGCGCGCACTGGGCTCTCTTCCTTCGGTCCTCGCCCCCGTCGAAGGTGGGAGGCTTGACTCTGGAGCCCCTTCTGGACCCCGCTCCTTCCCGCGCCCTCTCTGCTCTCCTTGATCCCTCCTCTCCTCCCCCTCCTCCTCTCCTCCTCCTCCTCCTCCTCCTCCTCCTCCTCCTCCTCCTCCCTACTCCTTCCTACTCCTACTCCCCCCTCCTCCTCTCCCTCCCTCCAGTCCTTAGTCTCCTCCCCTCCTCCTCCTCCTCCGTCCTTCCCTCCTTTTTTCCTTCCCTCCTCCTCTTCCTACCTCCCCCCCCCTCCTCCTCCTCCTCCTCCTCCTCCTCCTCCTCCTCCTCCTCCTCCACATGCTGCTCTTATCGTGCTCTCCAATATCATATGCAGTCGGACCTAGGCCAGAAGGACATCCCTCAAGATCAAGAGACCCTCCGTCGGCCAAAACAAACAGAACCTCCAAGGCTACCCTCCCCAGGATGCACAAGAGCATCCGACAAGCACGAAGAGCACTGGGGTACCCTCCCCAAACCGACCTCGATCTTCTACCTCGGTCCGACTGTACACGAGTGTCGTGCGGCGCCTACATGCTATTTTGGAGGAGCGCGTCTGCTTGTCGAGCGCTCGATTCAAAGAGCCCCTGTGGAGAGTACTCAGCGGCCGTGCCCAACGAACGCTTGCGAATGACCTACCCGCGCCGAGGCATGCACTGAAGAGGAGTGGCAGGAACCGAAAGAACCTTTAACACCTCTTCAGGAAAGCCCAGAATCGAATCGATAATTCGTACCGGCGGTCGAAACCAATCGGATCGGCAGACATCGACGGACAAGCCGGGAGGAGTCGAATCGGCGGAGATCGGCAGAGTGGTCAAGCCTCACTGAGAAATCGGAATCCAAATCGGAATCCGAGGTCGAACCCAATCTGCATCGGAACCCATCGAAGTCGACTCGACTCGAGTCGGAGGAGTGGCAACGAGCCTCAGGTCGGGCCTGCCCTCTTGCAGGCGGGTCTTGAGCCGAGAACAACGACGCAGCACATGAGCAAGAGAGGCCAAAGCAAGCAATCAACAACTCGTCCCCCCGACTGTGTCTTGACCATCTTGGAATGTTCCTCCTGTAGAGGGACAGGCCCGGCTTCAAACGAGCCCTGCCTTCCTTGGTCGCGCGCCTCTGTAAGAACGGTTTTTTGAAGGCAGATCTGCCTTCAAAAAACCGTTCTTGCAGAGTAGACCAATCTTTTGAAGGCAGATCTGCCCTCAACAAACCGTTCTTACAGAATTTTTTGAAGGCAGATCTGCCTTCAAAAAACCGTTCTTACAGGCCCGACGTAAAACGAGCCCTGCCTTCCTTGGTCGCGCGCCTGTGGCCCCCGCCGGCCTCCGCGGGCCTCCCGCGAGCGGAGCTGCCCTCGCCTTGCCTGCGCCGGCCTCCCGCCGAGGAAGATGTGGCAGCGCTTTCGACGGACCTTTCCTCGAGGAGGAGGAGGATGGGGGAGGAGGAGGCGGAGGAGGAGGAGGAGGAGGAAGGGGGAGGAGGAGGAGGAGGAGGAGGAGGAGGAGGAGGAGGAGGAGGAGGAGGAGGAGGAGGAGGAGGAGGAGGAGGAGGAGGAGGAGGAGGAGGAGGAGGAGGAGGAGGAGGAGGAGGTGCGGGACGAAGCCGACCAGCCGGGCAGCGCAGCACGGGGCCCCAGCGGGCGGGATCTGCAAGAAGCAGACGTAAACTTTTCATCGGCGGCGAGCTGGATCCAACGGGCGGTCGGCCGTCTATCGGCGGGGCGCGTCGGCAGCGAATGAGGCACCAGGGAAGCGGAGGGCAGCTGCTCTGTCACTGCCGAGCTGCACGGTCAATGCCTCGCTGTCCGGGGGCTTTGCTGTGCCCCTGCTCGTCCGAGACTCTGGCGCGCCTGCGGAGCTGTGCGCTGCCACTGCCGCGCCCTCCTGTGGTTCTGCTGTGCTCCTGCTGCGTCCATGGCACGTCCCCCGCCGGGAAGGAGGAGGGATAGGAGGAGGAGGAGGAGGAGGAGGAGGAGGAGGAGGAGGAGGAGGAGGAGGAGGAGGAGGAGGAGGAGGAGGAGAAGGAGGAGGAGGAGGAGGAGGCAGGAGCGAGGAGGAGCGGAGAGGAGGAGGAGGAGGAGGAGGAGGAGGACGGAGGAGGTGGAGGACGGGGAGGAGGAGAGGAAGGAGGAGGAGGAGGAGGAGGAGGAGGAGGAGGAGGAGGAGAGAGGAGGAGGAGGAGGAGGAGAGAGGAGGAGGAGGAGGAGGAGGGAGGAGGAGGGAGGAGGAGGAGGAGGAGAGGGGAGGAGGAGGAGGAGGAGGAGGAGGAGGAGGAAGATATCCATTCCACAAACAAGTGCAGAGGGCAGAGGCCACACGCTGGCATCGCCAGCGGGGCCCCGTGGGCGGCACCCCGTGGGCAGAGCAGGAGGCAGACCGGCAGGGCACGCAAGAGCCCCAGGCCCCGGGAGACGGGGCCCCACGGGCACCAGCAGGCCCGGCAGGCAGGGGCAGCTCCTCGTGGCGCACGTCGGCGCGCGCGCCCTGCTGCGAGCGCTGCGGGGGCAGCTGCGGCAGCGTGCACGGCATGCGTGTCGCTCGCGTGCTGCGTCTGTGCTGCGCTCCGACCATCGTGGGCCCCGGGCCCGTGGCCCGACGTGCAAGCTGGGGGGCCCGAGGATGATGATGGTGATGATGATGATGAGGAGGAGGAGGAGGAGGAGGAGGAGGAAGAGGAGAGAGAGGAGGAGGAGGGAGGAGGAGGAGAGAGGAGGAGAAGAGGAGGAGGAACTAGGGGGGCCCAACCGCCACCGGGCCTCCAACTCGGGAGAAACGGCCCGGCGCCCGGTCGCGCGACGCAGCGGGAGTCTCGCACCCTGCGCGGGAGCTCCGACGCCCCCGCGTGCTGTCCCGCCCTGGGCCGCGCTGGTGCCGGGAGCGGGTGCCTGCGCGGGCCTCCTCCTCCTCTCTCCTCCTCCTCCCCCCTCCTCCTCTCTTCCTCGCCTCCCCTCCTCCTCCTCCTCCCTCCTCCTCCTCCCTTCTCCTCCTCCTCCTCCTCCTCCTCCTCCTCCTCCTCCTCCCTTCCTCCTTCTCCTCTTGTTAGGCAAGGGAGCCTCCGGGAGGGAGGGTCCGGGAGAGAGGCGGCACTGCGGTGAGGGCGTCGTGCAAGGAACCGCTGGGCAACGAGGCCAGGGGTCTGGAAGCCGTTGGAACTTCACAGCCGCAGATTGGGCCGCGGACATCGCCGCCGCCATCATTGCTAGGCAAGGGAGCCTCCGAGGTCTGAGGCCGCCCGGGCACTGGAGGCGGCCGGGGGGGCGCGCCCCAGAAAATCAACCAGGAGAAGGGGTGCAGCTAAATCCCTCCAAAATCGTGAATTGGTTGGCGCCCCAGAAAAGAAGTCAGGGGGGTGGGGGTGGATTCAGTCAGAAAGTCAATCCACACGCATCAGGATTTAGCGGGTGGTCCCAGCTAAATCCTGTCCAAATCGGCCCCGGGGCCCCTCCCACGGTCCGCGTGGTGCAGTCTTCACTCATTCACTCATCGAGGCGCTTCGTCAGCTGGAGTTCTCGCAACACTCGGCCAGTAGATCCTTCAGTTCTGAAAAATAAAATCGCGCACGCGCGTCGCATCAACGTGGGCGATCTCTGGGGCCTGGCGCGTATTCGCTTGGACTTCGGTGCGCCAGCGGCCATCCCAGCGGACGGGCCGCCCTGCGTGGGCCCGCGTGCCTGTCCTGTCCGCGAAGACGGAGCCGTTCCAAGGCAAGCGCCTGGCGCGGTGTTCTTGCATCCACTTGTCGTTCTGGACGTGCAGAATGACATCGCTCAGGCTCTCTGGGTGGCGCAGAACGTGCTGTGCCGAAGTCACATGCGAGCGAATCGCGAGATCACTGAACTTTCATTTGCACCGGTTACGGACGACGTGTGCTCGCCTCGCTTGGAAGCTAGCCGGGGTCTCGTCCGTTCGCGGCCGCCGCAAGGAAATCCTGACAGCCAGCTTGTTATGATGGGTGTCCCGTGCCTTCAGTTCTGTTTTGACCACTGGCCAGCGTGCCACTCTATAGCCGAGAGAATCCCCTTGGAGGTCGAATGCCACAGCTGGAGTATCTAAGCTATCGGCGCTCGCCAGCTCATGAGCAACCTCCAACTTGGCCGAAAGCGCTCTGCAACTGGACTTTTTGTGGACGCCGCGCGCTGATGGGCTGTGCCGCTGCAAGACATCACCGTCGCCAGCGCCCTCATGCCCGGCACGTGCCGCCCGTCCGCACCTCGCACGTGCCGCGCGTGCGGGTCAAAACCACGCCCAGGGATGCCGTGGCGACGACCTTGCGGCTGCCTGGCTCGACGCGGAGCGGGCCCTCCGTGGTCAGAGATTCTTCGAAATCGGCCCTCGTGGAATCAGCTCCCGACGCTCGGCCACCGAGCGTGAGGACGTTGTCCGGCCCGACCGCGATCGGCAGGACATCATCCGCGTCCAGCTGAAGACCGCGTCTGCTCCAAACACCGCTCGAACGCAGCAGCTACAGCACTTTCCATGGGATCGCGGGCGATCAAACATGCCGTGTGCGCCCAGCCTATCCTCGCTGTGTAGGCCCGATGGTTTTTCACCCCGGATATACTTTTCACGCTTCCTTAGCCCGAGGAAAAAAAACGGCTCGGTTTCAGGACGTTCCCGTGTTTTTGTTGGTGGGGTGTTCGTTCCCCGTCTCTCTCTCTGTCTCCTTCTCTGTCTGTCTGTCTTTTTTTTTTCTCTCTCTCTCTGTCTCTCTCTCTCTCCTCTCTCTTTCTCTGTCTCTCACTCTTGTGTTCATCTCGCTCTCACTCCTTCTCTCTCTCTCAATGTGTCCATCGCTCGCTTCCATATCACTCACGATGTATTTCTTTGATAGATCCTAATTGTCTCAGGGGCAGACAGAAACATATATAGAGAGAGAGAGGAATAGAGC